TCTCCACGCACCCCAAGCCCCAAAATCCCACTTTTCAAGCCAAAACCATCTACCCAGGGACCCAAACCAGCTGGCTCGGTGCCACCGAGGCAGTGCCAGCAGCTCCCGCTCGCCCCAAGCTGGCGTGGCCGGGGGATGGGGGATGGGTTTGATTTTTCCTCGAAACAACAACAAAAAAGCCAAAAAAAAAGCGCGCCCTCTCTGTTTTACAAGCCTTCATTTGCTATTGTTTATGTAAACAGGTAAATTGTTTCGTATCTCAATTAAAAACATCTGCCACATAAATGAATACCAATTAACTCATCCTGTTTTTAATTACTCTGTTAATTACACACAGGCAGCAAAAAGGATGGCAGGGGAATAGGGAAAGCATGCTTACACCCCCCCTTCCCACCTTGCTCTTGGCAAGGATCCGAAATGTGCCCAGATAATGATGGATTAAGGTGAAAACCGTGGCTCGTGGCCAGCTCCGGCGTGGCGGCTCCCTGCCGGTGCTGCCGGGGCGCCTCACAGGGGGATTTCCCGGACCCTCCGGGAAGGTTTTGGAAAGCCCAAACCCCATGGGATGCGCCAACGCCGCCTGCGTCACCCCCGCGCCGGGCACAGCATTCCCGGTGCCAGCCCCGCGYTCGCTCCCAAAACGCGTCCGCGGGAGAGAAACTTTGGGATGGCGAGGGGAGGGAGGAGGCGACATCCGAGCGCATCCTCGAGGTGCCCGTGTTGCCCCCGGGAGCCCTCCTGGCACCGAGGGGCGGCTCCGCAGCGCGGGGTGGGTGCCATCCCTGGCGAGGGACCCSGGGCGCCGCCGGCCCCCCCGGCTGCGGGAAGCTTTCCAAGCGAGCAGATGGGGCAGGGGAGCGGCGGCAGGAGGAGGAGGAGAGCAGAAAAGGCTATTTTCTCACGCTACATATTTTACAAGTCGAACATTTTGTGCATTTCAGCCCTGCCTGTAAAAGCATCTCGGGCTCAGCCCCGGGACTCGRCGGCGGAGCCCGTGTGAGTCAACAGCGGCTGGCGGCGACGTGGCTGCAGGGGGGGACGGGCGGGGAGGAGGGGTCCCCCATGCACAGGGGCACTTTGGGGGGTCCCCCTGACCTGTTGGCACACGCCGCTGCAGTGTCGTGCCCGGTGCCACCGCCGGATTCATCCCAGCGGGTGGCACCGAGAGGTGGGCGCGCACACACACGCATACACACACCCTGCTGCTCCCCAGCTGCCTTACACTCCTGGAAATTAAATATCCTGGCTAAACACCAGGAGTAAACAGTGCCGCRGGCAGCCCGGAACACCTGGAGAGGAGCGGGGCTGCGGCTGACCCTGCCGGAGCTGCCCCCACCCAGGAAACACCCACGGCCGGGCTGCACCGCTCCCTGCACCGGAGCACCCCAAAGGGGCACCCCAAAACCACCCCCGCGCCCCCAACCGGGGATTTTTGCATCCTTGTGCAAAGGGATGCTCACAGCCAAAGGTGGCCTTGGTGGCTGGAGCAGGGACAAGTGGCACWCGCAGGGGATTCGGGACATCCTGGAGGCAGAGAGAGTGGCTGGAGAAGGGAAATCTCCCGCTCCACACCCCAGCTCCGGCCTGGGAACGCCGAGGCGCCGCCGGCTCCCCAGGGCCCCCGTGGCAGATCCTGCCCCACCGGCGCCACGATGGAACCGGCTCCGAGGGGGTGCGGGATCCGGCCGGGCTCTCCAGGCTGCTGCCTCACCGACTCTTTTGTCTATTTTTGAACSGCGGGTTCCATTTCAAGGAGATTTCGCCCGTGTGAAATTGAATCGAAAACAACGCAGGAAGAAAAAAATATTAATGAGAATTTTGCAAAATAAACAGGAAATCCCTCGGATGTTTTCTGGAACCATTGGTCAGCATCTTCCGAGGGAAAGCTGTGGGTTTGTCAAGGTGGGGTTCCCCCTGGGGAGCCTGAGCACAGGGGGAGGGACGGCAGAAAACAGCTTCAGGAAATCCGAAAATAACCCCAAACTGGGCAATGGTACCAAGGCCAGGGCACGCGGGCACAGGGGTGTGCCACCAGCCCGTTCTTGCCTCTGGCTGGCAAGGATTGATGCCCGCTTGGGGACTCCCGATGTCCCCACCCTGCCGGGCAGTTCAATCCATCTCCCAGGTGAGATTCAGCCTGGAAAGCGCAGGTCAGGCTGCAGCACCCGACCTGCAGCAGCGACCGCATCCCCCCGGCCGAGCAGCAGCGATTCAGCCCAGCTTAACCCAGGGGCTGTGCCTGCTCCCTCCCAGCMCCGCACACGGCACCCGGCCCTGATSTGCCCCAAGCTTTGSGCTCTGTGACCGTGGGCCGGGGGCTGCAGGGGTCAGTGCTCGGTGTCCCCCCAGGAGGGTCCCAGCTCCTGCCCCACTGTCAGCATTGCCCGGCAGCCCTGCACTTCCTGCTTGACTCGCCGCCAGTCCACTGGCTCCCGTTAAAAGATATAATAACAGATATTTATGGGGTGCCTCTCCTCCCCGGGGGTCCCACAGCACCCCACAGCACCCAGACACCTTCCCCAGGTGGCTGCAGGGCAGGGAACCCTCCACGACCACGGGCAGAGCCGAAGCACCTCCAGATTCCAGCAGGGATTCACGGCAGCGAGCGGAGCGGAGCCGAGACCCCATTTCCACGGCAAAGCTCGACTCCCGCGGCTTTCCACGCGTGCACACAGCCGTGCCTCAGAAGCACCGCTCCAGAAAGGGACACGGGGGACCTGCCAGCCCCGAGTTCCCCCGTGGGACCTGCCAGAGGCCCCTCCTGCCTGCAGGTAGCCCACCCCTGAAGTGGGGCTGAGCACCCGAGTGTTTTTCCCTCCTGCAGCCTGGAAGTTCCCGATGTAAGAGGCAAATCCTGCACCCACGCGAGGCCTCCCCGGTGCCCAAAGCCAGCGCGCACCCCACGCCAGCACCCAGAGCCGCGGGAGAACAGCCTCTGCCCCGCCGCGTCCTGGCTTTTCCCCCCTACAAACCAACATCTGCACCCGCATTTCCCAAACAAAACACACCCAACATCTGTCTGTTCCCTGGTAAAACCTCACCTGCCGGCATGGGAGGCAGCCGGCAGGGAAAACCCCCTTGGCACAGCCAAGTTCACCTCCACTCGCCTCCCCRAGCGTGGAAATTTCTCCGTGTGGAAACTCTCAGCACGGGGACCTGCCTCACAAACCTGCGAGGGTCCAAGAGCCCGCCCCAGGCGGCAGCTCGGCTCCGCGGGGCTCCTCAGCCGAGGACCGTGGCTGTCAGCATCCTCCCCGGCTGCTGCTCCGTGCTTGCCGYGGGGTTTCGGGATGGTTCCCCCGCTCCTCCATGCCCTGTACCATAGCAGAGCTCACCCCACCGCGGCGCCGAGCTGACGGATGTTTGCAGAGTGTCTTCAAGTCGCTCGACAAAGGAGCAGGGAATTAATATTCCTTTTAATTAAAGGCAGAAAAATCTCTTTGTTCCTGAACAGAGAGAAAACAACAGAGGGAAGAGCTCAAAAGCTCTTCCTAAGCTGGAGACGAGACCATCGCTTGGAATCAAAGACACTGTCAACGCACACGTGACCTCGAATTAAAAAAACAAAATGAAACCCAGCAGCGGCAGTGGCTCCTCTCCGACAGCGAAGGAAAGTTGCAAAGTTTTTCTTGGCTAATAGAGGGAAAAAAAAAAAAAAAAAAAAAAAAAAAAAAAAGAATTCCAAGAAAAGGTGTGTTTAACTAGAGAAACGCTCTGCAGTATCCGAAGGCACCATCCAGCGGCGAGGGAATGACGGGAAGAGCCGGCTGTGCTCCGGCTCAGTGTCGCGGAGGAGCCACGGAGGAGCGTGGAGCCAGCCTCGCTCCATCGCTACGCCGGCGGCATTCCCTCGGCAAAGCCGGGCTGCCCAGCCCGACGTAATTCCAAAGGGAAAGCGAGAGCAGGCGGTGATGAATGGCAGCGCTGCAGGCTCCCGAGCCAGCCTTCCTTCCCAAATCCACATCCAAACAAACATCCCCTGGCGCACGCCAGGACACTGCGAGTGTCCCCACCGCAGCCCCGTGTCCCCGCCGCGGACCCGTGTGCTCGCACATAAACACAGAGCGACGCTGCGGTGGCTGGAACTTCCCAAAACAACGCTGGGATTCTTCCCGCAAACTCTCCCGAGTGGGTCAACTCCTGCTGGCACCAAACACGGCTCCAGCTCCAAACCCACAGCAGCCGGAGCGGGATGCGGAGCCGGCAGCTCGGCGGGCAAAGAGGAGGGACGCAGGGATGACAAAGAGTTGGACTGCTGGGCAGGAGACGGGAGCCACAGCCGGGGGGGGTCTGCTGGGGGGTGGGCACAAACTCGCGTGGGTTCCCGGGATCGCTGTGCCGCCCCACGCCGCCCCGGCGCTCGGGAAGCGGCGACCGGCAAAGGGGAGGGGAGAGCAGGAAGAGCCCCGGGAGCGCAGGGAAGAGGGGTTTGCACCCCGCCGGCCCCGAGGCAGCGCGGTGCGTGAGAGCGGGGCCCACGGGCGCGGCGATCCGCTCCCGCGCTGCCTCCGCCGCGGAGCCGCTCCGAGCGCTGCGCCCGCTCGCCCCGGCTGTGCCCCCGCTCGCCCTGCTCCGCTCCCCCGCGGCGGTGGGGACCGCGCTGGCTCGGGCACACAGAGCAATCTCGTCCCCTGCGCACCGGCAGCTTCCCCGACACCGGGAGCGTCCTCCGGGCACCGGGAGCCGCTTACTGCCCTGCGCACCGACAGCGGGAGACTCCCCCGGGTACCGAGAGCATCTCCGGCTCCTGCACAACAGGAGCGTTCCCCGGGCACCGGGAGCATCCCCGACTCCTTCGCGCCGGGAGCATCCCCCGAGCATCAGGAGCATTCCCAGCCCCTTTTCCGCGGGAGCTCCCCCGGGCACCGGAACCTTCCGATTCCCCCGTGCCCCGGGAGCATCCCCGAGCACCGGGAGCATTCCAAGCCCCGCTTCCACGGGAGCATCCGCGGGCACCGGCAGCCTCCCCATCCCCGTTCCCACTGGCGGACGGCACTTACCGTCCTGAGGTGTGGCGGAGRCGTGAGGTAAGTCCCAAGGCAGGGGTCGGCGGGGCCGGCAGGAGCGGGCAGAGCCGGCAGCGGCCCCCGGCGGCGGCGGCCCCGGCCCGTTTAAGGCC